TAAGGTCCTTTCCAACCCAAACCATTCTGTGATTCTATGACCTGTGACACTTGATTTAGCTCTCATGAGGTTTAGGCTAATACTGGAAGGGCAGTGGCCCAAAGTTAGGCCCTAGATCCATATTTGGTCATACACGGGATCAAATTAGCTGAAGTGCAGCTCTTCAGGGCAAGATCATCCATATGGAAAAAGAGGTTGAGCTGAGGCCTTGGGTAAGCGAGGACCTGGAGAAGCAGAAAACTGTCCAATATCTACACCTGAGGGGTGGGGCTTGTTTGAGTTGGTGCCTTGCACCAGCTGCATGTGTGGTATCAGGAGGAGAACCTGCACGGGTTTGGCTTTGCCAGGTCTCGGAGATGGGGTACAGCACTGGAGAGGCTGTTTTCCTCATCTGTTGCCCTCCTGCAGAATCTCGAAGAGCCACAAGGAGCTGCTGATACCTTTCACGCCTTGCCATGCCAAGACTAACGTCATGTTCCTCAAGACCCACAAGACGGCCAGCAGCACCGTCCTGAACATCATGTTCAGGTTCGCGGAGAGGTACAACCTCACGGTCGCCCTCCCAGCCAACCAGCTTGTCCACCTGGGTTACCCGAAGACCTTCCTGGCCCGCTTTGTGGAGGAATTTCAAGCCATAGGATCAAACTATAACATCATGTGCAACCACCTGCGGTTTAACCCCTCAGAGGTAAGAGCGAGCCACGACACCTGCGGAGAAACCTGGTTGAACAAGCAATGCCTCCAGACTAATAGCCTCTCTTCTTCCTCCCCACAAATAGGTGCAAAAGGTGATGGCAGCAAACACCTTCTACTTCTCCATCCTGAGGAACCCCATTCCTCTGCTGGAGTCTTCGTATGCCTACTACAAAGACAATGTCCCTGCCTTCAGGATCTCCAAGGACGTGAACGAGTATTTGGCGTCACCCATGAAGTATTACCATCCAGCAGATTACAAGCAAAACATCTATGCCAGGAATATCATGTGGTTTGATTTTGGCTATGATAACAATGCAGAGGACAACAAAAATTACATCCAGGTGGTTTTGAAGGAGATTGAACAGAACTTCCACCTGATCTTGATAGCAGACTACTTTGATGAGTCCATGATCGTCTTGAAGCATGCTTTGTGCTGGGATCTGGATGATGTGATTTACTTTAAGCTCAATTCCAGAAGCCGGGACACTGTCCAAACCTTGACTCCGGAAAGCGAGGAGCGGATAAAAGCATGGTGCTCGCTGGACTGGAAGCTCTACCTGCATTTCAACCAGAGCTTCTGGAGGAGAATTGAGGAGACCATAGGACTTGAGGAGCTGGAGAAGGAGGTGAATCACCTGCGAATGAGACAGAAGGACCTCATGGAGACCTGTCTCTCGGACCAGGAGGCAGTGGGGAAGGATCACATCAAGAACAAAGCTCTCCTGCCTTTCCAGTCAGGGGCTGCAAATATCCTTGGCTACAACCTCAAACAAGATTTAGACAACAGGACGCTGAGAACCTGCCAGAAAATGGTTATGCCAGAGCTCCAGTACACATCCTATCTTTACGCTGTTCAACACCCACACAAGAAGAGGAAGCAGTTAGGCTTGCCCTTGCTGTGGACCAGTTTCCAGGAGAAGATGCAGCTCCTGACTCCCAACTAGGAGATGCGACAACCCACTGCGGTTTCCCACTGCTTTGCATCTCCCCGTGTCTGGCACGTGACTGGCCCACAGCGCCTGAGGGGGAGGCAGGGCAGGGGGGGCTTAGTTCATGACCACTGAGCTGGTGGTTGGTCCCTTTTTGGGGACCTTGAGCCAACGGCTCTGCGTTGGCCGGATCCTGTGTAGTCCCTCCTCCCCGCTCCCAGGCAGTGGGACAGGCCACTGCTACTAAGTGCTGGGCAGGCTTTCAGCTGGCTTAGACCTTCCTGCCTCTTAATCATTAACCACAGTCTTAATCATTTTGTTTGGCTTCAACTTTATTTAATAGCTGTCATTCCATCCAGGCTGGTCACAGCTCACTAGAGCACATCCTGATTTTTGGCTTTTAAGGGAAAAAAGGGGAGGGGGAGGGAAACAGGGAGCAGAGTGTGACAAGGGGACATAGCACTTGAAGGAGGAGGAGAGATATTGGGTCTCCCATTTGCAGCATCCATGCTCAACGACGTCTAACCACGATGCGATGCCAGGGCTGCTTTTTGGATGGGAGTCCCGAGCATTGTGCCCAGAGTCAGGCACACTGGCTGGTTGTCCTTCCCCACTGGCACGTGAGATGTCCCCCTCACGTGTGTCATGAGGTGCAGGGGCGTCTCTGCACCACTTGGGACAGCTTGGCGCTCCCCTGGGAGGGCCCGTTTTGTGGTTTCACCCTTTTCTCTTGGGTGAAGGTCCCTGGGCATGACAGTCCCTTGGGCTCAGCATCCCCGAAGCCCTTTATCAGCAGAGGCTCCGTTGGGCCCCCCTTTTGCTGTGTTGGCCAAGCTCTCCATCGTTGATTAGGAGAGGGGTGGAGGGAGGCATGGCCTCATTATTGAAGGAGGTAATTAAACCTCCCTGGGAGGTCTTTGCATGTTAGCCAGCTCCCCGCTGGGAAGGTTCGTCAGGATGGTCTTGACATTACCGCCGTTAATGACTGCCCATTGCCAGTTTCCAACACACACCGATTGTGCAATATTTCAGAGCGTAGCCAGTGTTTCCTCCCACTCACACTGGTCAGGGTGGCAGCGGTGACCCAGATGGCACAACTGGGATGATGGATCTGGGGTGGCTTGGCTTGCAGCTTCACCATGGCAGGGGTGAAGCTAGCTAGGCAGCAGCTCCACCTGGGAAGCGGGAGGGGTGCTGTCAGAGGGGAGCAGGGTGAGAAGCAGAGCTGGGATTTTCCTTGGCTACGTTTAAAGCCAGGAGGTAGCCAGGGAAGGCAGCTGAGGCAAGGGTTAATGTCCTGCCATGCAACCTGTGCTCCTCCACAACCATGTGATGTACACCAGGAGCAACCTGATGTTAACAGCACCTTGCTTTTCTGCTCCAGCAACCCTAGCTAAAATTATCCAGGCTTAGGAGGCTTTTGTAACTAGCTGGGGTGGAGGAGATGGCAGCCGCACATGTTCAGCCTAAGCAATCCCCGAGGGCCTTTCCCAGGCAATTCTGCACCCTGAGCCTGAGCTTTTGCCATGGAGCTTCTGATCCGTGACTTGCCATGTGAGTTTTGTCAAGCTTCTTTAGCTAAGCTGGTGCCGAGGGCAGAATATAAACATAAAAATAATTTTGTAACCTCTGACTTCTGTGTGGGTGAGCGTTCTGTGATGGCAGGGACTCTCCGGACTACAGCCCACAGGCTGGGGAGCTCACAGCTGGGGTGGACCATGGGTGGGTTGCAGCACCTGGACAGGGAGGTCTGGCCTCTCCCAGCCTGCAGGTGGAGGGAAACTGAGGCAGGAGATGCAAACACCCCCGCCACAGCTCTCTTTGCATCCCCTCCCAGAGGGGGGGCTGGCTCGGCAGCCGCGGGGCCCCCAGCTCTGCCCCGGCTGATAAAGGTGCCTTTGTGCCGCCTGGCTGCCACTGCTGACTCAGGGCTTTTTCCCGGCCATCGCCGCTGCGGGAGCCCCGTGACCCATCAGTGAGGGGGACCCTGCAAGGGGAGGGTGGCAGCAAAGCAGTGAAGTGACAGGCTCTGCAGAAAGCCAGCGGTTGCAGGAGCCAGCATTACCCCCGGGGTGCGGGCAAGGGACGGAGGGGACACCCCCAACTGAGCAGGACCTGGTGAGTGCCTTCACTTTCTCCAGGGGGTGCTTGACCAGCAACAGCTCCTAATTGAAACACAGGTGAAAGTCGCCCTCGGTGGCTCTGACTGCGCCCCAGAGTTGGATGCCCATCTCCTTCTGTGGTGATAAGATGGGACACGTAGGGATGTGTATCCTGGGGACAGCTGAATGCAGTGACACTGCTGCTGTCCCCGAAGGAAGGGTGCTTGAGGATCACTCGCACTGCAGGGACAGCCTGGCCGGGGACCCCCTCGGTTCATGTTGTGCACCCCGGTTTTCCCCCACAGGGGAGAAGGAAATGAGGAGCCGGCTGTGTCTGCTGTGCTGAAGGCACCAGAAACACGGGACAAAACTCCTGGACCCCCTCGTGAGCTGGTCCCAGGGTCTTAGCTGTGCAGAGACAGGCTCTGCCCCCTCAACACCCTTGAGGGTGCGAGCAGGGAACCACAGGTCTCACCCTGCCCTTTGCTGACTGGCCTCACTTTACCAGAAACCCCTTTTGAAAAGCATCTTGAAGATCAATGTAATTTTTTTTAGTTTTATTTCAGGATAGCCCAGGTCAGCTTCTTCAGCGTTACCCAAAATCCTGTCCCACCGTTGAGCGGCGGTGACTTGCCACCATGGCAGCACACATT